CATGGAAAGCGGGTTCCCCTCAGTAGCTTCAAGCAATCACGTTTGAACAGAGTTGGATTAATTGGTTATAAGGTATCAGGACTGTTGTACTATTGTTTTAACTTTTAACACCATTTAATGTTGCCTTGTAGAGTTGTTCTACAGCTTGACATTTCCTCTGCTCTGTTTTTTTTTTTTTTTTTGAAGTTCTTTGAGGAAGATCGCTTGGCAGCTGTCTTTGCAGTTGGTTTTTCATTGGCAGGTATTGTTATATAGTGGTTTGGGGTAGATGCTTTTATAATACTATTGATTACGCTTGCACTTTCTTATCTTTGTGCTAATTTTCTCCCTTCTTTTTCTCTGTTATAGAAGATGGTGAAAGTGATGAGCAAGTGGTTCTTGTAAGCCAAAGTGGCACTGTCAATCGAATTAAAGTTAGGGATATTTCAATACAATCCCGCTTTGCAAGGTATGCATAGTTGTTTATACCAAAGTATTTTGTAAGCTCATTTGTTGACAGCAACAATGTCTGGGTCTATCCATGTTATCTAGTGGAATATATTCTTCCATGCACCTGTAAACATCAAATTTGCATTTCTTCAGGAATTTCTCTTCCAAAAGAAACCAAAATAAATTATCTCGTTTCTTACCACCTTTGGAAAGAGAGTTGATTGTTGATGGTCCAGAATTGATATGCTCTATAGGTTCTTGCTAGGCAGGTTTGCAACAAATTCTGGATGTGAAAACTATCCATTTTGCTTTCAGCTACAAAAAATACCGAAGTGCCTTGGTTGAATTTTGAGGGATAATGTTTATGATTTAAAGGTTGAAATATGATAACTGAAAACTGAGCTAAGTTAATCCTATAAATGGTTCCTGGCCACTTGGCTAATCTTGTATGGTAATTTTGTTAGTGTTTGCTGTCATCTCTCTCCAGGGGAGTTATTTTGATGCGGCTGGAGCATGCTGGCAAGATTCAGTCAGCTTCATTGATCTCCGCTGTGGATCCTGAATTAGAGGAATCGGCACCTGTGCCTGAACTCCTATCCGAGACATCATTATAACAAATTCTGGGGATCACTTGTATATGTCATGTGCAATTGGATCTTGGGTTAATCTTCCTCGTGCAACCTTGAAGACTTAGTTGGCTTTCCTGCTGTTAATTATTAGAGTACAAAAGGGAATGTGGGTTAGACAGTGTTGGTGCTAGCTTGTTAGCTTGATCATTGTTAACTTTTCGGATCACTGATCTAAACCTCTGAAGATCATAGCTGGAGCACGCCCTTGATGTGCAGCGTTATGAGACAACTATCATATCAAAAAAGTCTGTTCATATCATTTATTTAGACCTCTTTATGGAAAAAAAAGAGAAATCACCCTAAGTTGCTTTCAATTTTATGGTAAAATGTATCTTTTATGTTTTAATGCTAAAACTTGCCCTAAACATATTCATTGTTGGGGGTAATAGACTATGAAGTCCTAGAACATTGATTAGGGTCCTAAACCTGGATCCCGCCTGATACTCGCTTTTAAAACACGGATGTTGGACACCAAAGATGGTGAAAATTGAGTTGGGTTTCCAACCAGATTTACTTCGATTATTTTCAAAATAGATTCAAATGCCGCAGCTTATATTTAATGGACCTGATAGATCAAGTTAACATAATCTAAATCTAATTTGATTATGAATTTCATCAGAATCAGGGTAAGATGATGATGAATTCCTAGACTTTCTATAGTAATATTGCTTAAAATGCTAATATAATTGGAAACCCCAGAATGATGAGATTTCTTTTTCAAGACCCCAATCACATACCGTATACGTGTTTGCTATATAAAGACAGAGACATCTCTAGGAGTACCATCTCATGATCAAGTTTTAGCTCAGTTCTTGCCTACGTTGTTAGCACATTCAAGATGAGAAGCTCACTTCTTTTTGTGGTCTCATTCATGATTGGTCTGCTCTTGCTTTCTTCTCATGAAGGCAATGTTACACGAGGGAACGACTTCTTTCAAGGTTTTAATCTCTCAAAGCGTTGCCTTTCCCTTTACCTCTGTGAAAGCTTGTCATGTGTTCTAGACATTGTACTAGTTGGCCGGCCGGCACTTCACTGTAGGCTAGAAAAGTTTTTTTAGTCTGAAAAAAATGAATGCGCAAATGTTTCTAGTATGTTCTTTGAAATAAAAAAAATATAAATTAAAAAAGTTAATGCATATATTAAATCTAATAAATCAAAAATTATATGTGCCTCTAAAATATAAAAAGACTTGTTAATGTCAATTAAAAAATAAATTTTAACATTGACCTTGCCGAACCCGGATGAGATAATAGGAGGATCCTTTTGAATCAAAATGATAGATGAGGTCAACCTAGCGACCCACGTATTAGTCCAATAAGACCTGGTGACCAGACCATTTTTGCAGTTTTTATACATGCGAGACATCCTTCCATGAATTTGATGCATTAGGCCCCCTCCCTTAAATTTAAATTTGAGAATTAATGGTAGTTGTCTGTATATGTGCAGTGAAAGGATCGGCCACAAACCAGATGAGCAAATGTTCAAAGAATGATATTTCAGTCGCACAAGGCCCTGCCGGTACTCTCCCAGGTGGGATCTCACAATATTTAGTGGAGATCACAAACACAAATCCACGAGTACCCATTGCTGATATCCATCTCAACTTTAAGGACTTCAGCTCCGCCATCCTTGTTAGCCCTGAGATATTCAGGCGCATTGCCATGGATGACTGTCTGGTCAACGACGGAAGAGCACTAGCTCCCGGTGCAGCTCTCTCCTTCAGATACGCCAACACCAAGCAACACCCCCTTCCAGTTGTCTCAGCCCCATGTTAAGTCATCCGTAGAATTTATTTAGTTTTATGCGTTTTCAGCACTGTTGCTAGGCAAGCACTCCTCCTCTATTCTTTGCAGTCTATTCGATCGATTTAAGCAAAGCACAGATCTTTTATTTAATTCCCTCTCTCTTTAATTTCATGATGAGTTCATAACCCTTGAAGAAGACATACATGTTAAAATTTCAAGTTTGATTGCCCATTTTTTGTTTATTGATGCTTAATTTCCATTCATGTCAAGATACATACATGATAACTCAAAAATTCCATCGCTTATATAATTTTCTTCTTGTGATGTTGGATGTATATCCGGTTTATATGCTGCATCGAATTTAAAAAAACATTAACATAAAAAAATATTCAAATTATAGAAACTAAAAAATATTCAAATTATAGAAACTATATGATATTATTACTAAACCCAACTTTTACTAAACTATTTGATATTATTACTAAACCTGATTTAATAGGTTAATCTTTAAATCTTTTTACCCAACTTTTTATCTAACTAAAAATTAAAATTAATTTTTACTAATATGAGCTTTGACTGAGGTGATCGTGGCTGGAATCTCCAGTTTGAATTGAATTAGGAATTTTTACTAATTTTTAATTTAGTCCACTAACTTTCAATTTGTTTCAATTGAACTTCTAATTAATCATAAATTTTTGATCTAATGCAATTAGACCCCTACAAAACTTTAACTTCAACCTTATATTTACGCACCATTAGCAAAACAGTACGTAGTGTTGGATTTATGCAATTAAACCTCTAATTGATCATTAAACTTTCAATTTTTTCAATTTCACCCCCGGTTTTTGTTAATTAAGCCGCTATAGTTTGGCGTCTTTTATAGATTGGTTATTGGTTGAGAATTTTTTTTAATTTAGCCCTTAATTGATAAAAAAAACTTTAATTTTCTTGCAATTTGACCCCTAATTGACCCAAAAACTTCAATTTTTTTTGCAATTTAGCCCCTAATTTCAATCAATTAACTTGGTAAAAATTAAATTCGGTCTCTTCAAATTCTAATCTTCTTAATTAAGCTCAAATTAGGCTCCCAAACTTAATTTTTCACCAATTAAGCCCTAAATAAGATTAATTTGATCCATTTAAAGTATAATTAAGTCTTTATATTTAATTAAATCCTTCAATTGGATCAAATTAATTTTTAAACATAATTAAAATTTAATTTGGCCCATGATTAAATTAAATTGACCTATTAAAAATCTAATTATGTCATTAGATTTAATTTTCATGCAAATTCGTCCAATAATTATTTAATTTGACCTTAAATTTATATTTTTTCTTCATTTTTTGGCATAATAGAGTACAATTATGCAGCTTGATTCCTCGATTTACTTTCTCCATGTTGCCAACCTTTATTATTATTTTGAAAAAAAATTAATTTTTGGTGAATAATCCAGAATTAAGTTATAACAAACATAATTTACTTACTTAACGGGTTTAAGAAAAATAAATCTAGCATCATTTTTTAGAATTTCACCCAAGTCTAAGTCTATGTGTGTTTGTATATATATCCTCATTTAAAATCTAAAAATGAATGCAATTTCTATCACTAGCTTTTAATCATGTTACGAGATTTTTAAGTTTTGTAAATGTATACAAGGGAATGGACATCAATCTCCATTATTTCTCTGTTTTTTTTTCTTTTCTTTTATAGTATTACCTTCTACTTTGTTCATCTAAATTTGCAAAGAAAAAAAATATATTTTCAATTAAAAAAACATCATTTTTTTAATTTTTTTTCTATAAATGAAGTAATCTTATATTATATATTGATGCCTTCCTAGACTAGATAAAACATCACAGAATCTAAGATAACTTAATTATTGTCTCGGAAAAAAAATAAATAAGAGTACTATAACAGAATAGAAAAGACAGAAATTCATTTTAGAATTGTTCTACAAATATATTTATTTTATATTTTTATCTTTATTTCTCTAATTAACACATTTATGTCCTTTAATGAAATCCATGGAAACAATAAATCTTGTCTCTAGCAAATTTATTTAAAAACAAAAAACACAAACCAAAAGAATCTCTTCTTTTTCTTTTTTCATGGCTTTAATTTCTATTTATAATATATCATTTTTCACCCCTTATGCTGTTTCCTTTATTCCTTCTCCTTGGCAATGGTAACAAGTGATTCAATCAAGGAAGGGTACGGGAAAGATGAGAAGAGCAGCAAAGCATAAGGTGGCCCTTGCTTATCTATATATATTTGTTACCAAAACGCTGAATGTGCCATCAAGTTAATAGCCTTAATTTATCCTCCAATCAATGGATTTCATTCCAATGCCCAGTGCTGATGTTCTTGGTGTTGTCATTGCTATATCTTCAGTCGCCATCGCTGCAGCTTCTTATTATTATGTTCTCAGCAGAAAACCCAAAGGTGTGGTCTTGCACCTCCTGGTTCATGTTTTTAGGCCATGTTTTGTGCTTGTCATGGATGCTAACGTTGTTTTTTCTTGCTTTCAGGCTGCTTAGACCCTCAGAAATTCAAAGAATTCAAGCTAATTAAGAAGACACAGATTAGCCCTGACACTGCGAGGTTTAGATTTTCTCTTCCAACACCCAAATCAGTGTTGGGTCTTCCTGCTGTATCTTACGTTCTTTGCAGGTTCAAAATGTCCCTGAACCCTGTCATTTTCCATATATATTTTCAATTTGGTGGGAAAATTACGCTGAAAATCCTATACTTCAGTTGTTTTTATGCTTGTCCTTTGTGTTTTTAAACTTTACAGTTTACGTACATGGTAATTGTAAAACAGACTAAACTATAGGATGATTTACGATACAAACTATTAAATGAATAACAAGATTTGGGATGTAAACTATAATTTTAAAAATTAACAATGGTAAATATAAAAATAGCTAAACAATAGGATGATCACCGTAATTTTTTTTTCTAATTAATATTACATGTTTAATTTTGTTGAGCAGGGCAAAGGACCGTGAAGGTCAAGAAATTATAAGATCATATACACCTATCACTCTGGATTCTCAAGTTGGTTACTTTGAACTAGTTATAAAAGTAAATAGACCCTCCATCCAAATCCAAATCTTTTTAGCTATATATATATAGACACACACAGACACTAATGCTTGATTTGATGCGTGAAATGTTTTCCCCAATATATATATATATATATAGATACACACAGACACTAATGTTTGATTTGATGCGTGAAATGTTTTCCCCGAGTAGATGTATCCAGAAGGAAAGATGTCACAGCATTTCAGGGAGATGCGTGAAGGGGACTATCTAGCAGTAAAGGGACCTGAGGTGCGTGCATGAATACTCTCATTTTTCTACACCGATTATTTATAATTCATTAGACGTGAAGAAATCTTGAAGAATGTTAACAAATTAATGATCAAGTTCTTAAACAATCTACCAACAAAGATATTAATATTGTAGCAACGATATTATTAATTTGTTTGAACTATTAAACTTATTTTATTTTATTTTATTTTGGTTTGTGTTTTTAGGCTTTTAAGATCCCGTTCGATTACAAACCTGGCCAAGTTCGGGCGTTCGGAATGATCGCCGGAGGCAGTGGCATCACCCCAATGTTCCAGGTCCAGGCGTGATGACCATTGAAAAATCTTCAGTAAATTCCTTCTAGGAGTGAAATTTTAGCATTACTGATATGAATTAATTACTGTTGTTTCCTGGATCCAGCTTACCAGAGCCATACTAGAGAACCCAAAAGATAAAACCATCGTGCATCTTATTTATGCCAATACCACGTTTGAAGATATTCTTCTCAAGGTAACTCTTGCGTTTCACTTTGCTTTTGGAAGTACATTACATCTATGCAAAGGAATTAAACTGTTCGCGGATCGGGTGACTGGGTACACCATTTCAACTGAGTTATTTGGATCAATAAAAACAACATCGTTTTTATATAAATCATGTCTTGATCTGAATCAATAAATTTATTAGGTCCACTTCAACTTGCTTTTTTTCTTCTTTTTTTTAAACTCATGCAGGCCACCTGAACTCTGTCATGTTAGGTTAATGACCTGTCATGTTAGTAGGTTAACTTGTCAAATTAGAACATATATATATATATATATATATATATATATATATAAATGAGTTTGAAATGTTGAGATCTTGGATTTTGTGCAGGAAGATCTAGATGATTTCGCTAGCAAATTCCCTGATCGTTTCAAAGTTTATTATGTCCTCAGCCAGGTGAGTGTTCATATAGATTTTCACCTGACAACTATACATTATTATTATTATTATCATCATCATCTTGGCGTTGATTGTCATTATACTCTTCCAATATTTTTGGCAGCCTCCTGAAGCATGGACCGGTGGTAGTGGTCATGTATCCAAAGAAATGATTCAAAATCACTGCCCACCTCCTGCCCCTGACATCCGGGTCATTTTTTCTATTTTTAACTATCTCTATTTTTTATATATATTTTTTTATAATAAAATGCTGTCTCCTTGATGAAAACAAATCTTCTAATTGGGCTCCAACTATCAAATATTCTTCAAATTACAGATACTGAGGTGCGGGCCACCGGGCATGAGCGAGGCCGTGGCAGCTCATCTTAATGCACTTGGATACTCATCCTCCATGCAATACGATTTCTTCTGATTTATCATTACGTATTGCCGAATATGTACTTTCTCTAGCTTTCGCGAAGACTTGCAATGCAAATTGGCACCAACTAGGGTTTGTCCCCTGCTAGTTGCCATTTGTCAGCGTAAACCTACCCTCATATATACCATGCTTGTCTGTAAAAAGAAACTTGATTCAAACCCGGCATCGCACGGGCCAATAATCAAATAAAAATTATTTTAGTAAAAATATTGTTATTAATTAACTCGGTGTAATTTATTTTGTAAATTCTCAATAAAAGTCAGATTTTAATTTTAACTGTTTTCGCTTATATATGTATATATAGCCAAACTCAATAAAAATATTGAATTGATATTTAACCGGTAATATGAAAATGACTAGCGTCCAACCAGTAATGCTTGCTAGAATCGGGAGGGAAAAAGGAAGGAGGTTAGAAATAATTTACAACAAAAGCAACAGTGTACAAGTAAGCTGCAGTTGGCTGGATGGAGGGCCAGGCTTGCAAAGTCAACAGTCTTATAATCAATTGATTTAAAGCTTTATAAATGGATCCAAGGAGAAGGAATGGACATCTGTCTCCATTCTTCTTCCTTTTCTTTTATAGTATTATCTTCTTCTTCGTTAATCTAAATTTGCAATCTGATTTGATTCTGTAAGGAAAAAAATGTAGAAAAGATAAGGGTGTTGTCTTTCCAATGACGTGGTGTAGTGTTAAAGCGATTGAAATTTACATAGTAAGTTTTGAGTTCAAATCTAGATAGTTGTGGTTTTATTCACTCATTTAAATCCATGAAATACACTTTTTATTTAAATAATGAGTAGGATTTCTTAAATCCTAAAAAAAAAATGAAAATGCTAGAATAAAAATGACAAAAATTTATTTTAGAATTGTTCTAAGAATATATTTATGTTATGTTGCTAGCTTTATTTCTCTAATTAAACGCATTTATGCCTTCTAATGAAATCCAAGGAAACAATAAATCTTGTCACTACTTACCAAATTGAAAAACAAACACAAACCAAAAGAATCTCTTCGTTTTCTTTTTTCATGGCTTTAATTTCTATTTATAATATATTCTTTTTTAACCCTTTATGCTCTTTCCTTTATTCCTTCTCCTTGGCAATGGTAACAAGTGATTCAATCAAGGAAGGGTACGGGAAAGATGAGAAGAGCAGCAAAGCATAAGGTGGCCCTTGCTTATATATATTTGTTGCCAAAACGCTGAATGAGCCATCAAATTAATAGCCTTTATCCAATCAATGGATTTCATGGCAATGCCCAGTGCTGATGTTCTTGGTGTTCTCATTGCTATATTTTCAGTCGCCGCCATCGCTGCAGCTTCTTCTTATTTTTTTCTCGGCAGAAAACCCAAAGGTGTGGTTTTGCACCTGTTGGTTCATGTTTTAGGACATGTTTCATGTTTGTCATGGATGCTAATGTTGTTTCTCTTGCTCTTAGGCTGCTTAGACCCTCAGAGATTCAAAGAATTCAAGCTAATCAAGAAGACACAGATTAGCCCTAATTCTGCGAGGTTTAGATTTTCTCTTCCTACACCCAAATCAGTGTTGGGTCTTCCTGTTGGAACCCATGTTGTCTGCAGGTTCAAAATGTCCCTTAACTCTGTCATTTTCCATATATGTATTATCAATTTACGATGGATCATCAATTTTTTGGGAAAATTACGCTGAAAATCCTATAGTTTAGTTGTTTTTATATTCATCCTTTGTGTTTTTAAACTCTATAGTTTACATCCTTAGTAATCGTAAAACAGTCTAAACTGTAATATTATTTAAGATATAAACTACTATGGGAATAAGAAAATTTATGATAGAAACTATAATTTTTAAAAACCTGGATAATAAATATGAAATATAAAGTAAGTTAAACTATAAGATGTTCATTGTGATTTTTTCTAATTAATATTACATGCTTTTTTTCTTCTTTTTTTGCATTGTGATTTTTTCTAATTAATATTACATTTTTTTTTCTTTTTTTTTTTGAGTAGGGGAAAGGACAGTGAAGGTCAAGAAGTTACAAGACCATACACACCTATTACTCTGGATTCTCAAGTTGGTTACTTTGAACTAGTTGTAAAAGTAAATATTCCCTCCATCCAAATCTTTATGTGTGTGTGTGTGTGTGTGTAATACTGGCCGGGTCATTCATCGTCGGTGAAATAGACGAGCAGCCCGGCGTGATTTAAATCGTGAAATGTTTTCTCCAAGTAGATGTATCCAAAAGGAAGGATGTCACACCATTACAGGGAGATGCGTGAAGGAGACTATCTAGCAGTGAAGGGACCTCAGGTGCGTGCATACTCTCATTTTTCTACACCGATTACTTACTATTCATTCGCTATATGTGAAGAAATCTTGAAGAACGTTAACAAATTAATGATTAAGTTCTCAAGCAATTTGCCATAAAAAATATTAATATTGTAACCAACGATATTATTAATTTGTTGGAACCATTAAACTGATTTTTGTGTGTGTGTTTTTATGCTTTTAAGGGCCGGTTCAATTACCAACGCGGCGAAGTTCGGGCGTTAGGAATGATCGCCGGAGGCAGTGGCATCACCCCAATGTTCCAGGTCCAGGCGTGATGACCATTGAAAAATCTTCAGTAAATTCCTTCTAGGAGTGAAATTTTAGCATTACTGATATGAATTAATTACTGTTGTTTCCTGGATCCAGCTTACCAGAGCCATACTAGAGAACCCAAAAGATAAAACCATCGTGCATCTTATTTATGCCAATACCACGTTTGAAGATATTCTTCTCAAGGTAACTCTTGCATGAATGGATATATATAAATATATAATGAGTTTGAAATGTTGAAGTTTTGGATTTTGTGCAGGAAGATCTAGATGACTTCGCGAGCAAATTCCCCGATCGTTTCAAAGTTTATTACGTCCTCAGCCGGGTGGGTTTACATATATGGTTTCTCCTCGCTGCTATGGATCCTGCTTGAATCAGGATCCAATATTATTAAATTTTGTTAAAGTAAAAGCCAATATATAATTTATTTATGTATTTAATAACATATATAATTTAAAATAATTAAATACAAAATTAAATATTGATAAAACTTTGAATCCCATATACTATACTAATGTTATAAAATTAAAATATCTTCTATTATACTCTCGTTAAGTTTGATTATACAACTAGATCTAATACTGATGGGATTCGACATTAATGATCTTGCATTCAAAACTATTTTGATTATCCATTCTCTAAATTTTCTCTTTATCATGTAACAAAAATTATTATTATTTTCACCTCACAACTATGTATTATTATTATTATTATTATTTTCTTGGCATTGATTGTCAATATACTCTTCCAAAATTTTGGCAGCCTCCTGAAGCATGGACCGGTGGTGGTGGTCATGTATCCGAAGAAATGATTCAAAATCACTGCCCGCCTCCTGCCCCTGACATTCGGGTCAATTTTGTTTTTAATTATCTCTATTTTTTATTACATATCATGGGGGAAAAAGGAACCATGGTTTTTTTTTTATATTTATTTATAGCAAGATTATGGTCTCTTGGATGAAAACAATTTTCTAATTGGGCTACAACTATCATATATCCTTCAAATTACAGATATTGAGGTGCGGACCACCAGGCATGAACAAGGCCATGGCAGCTCATCTTAATGCACTCGGATACACATCCTCCATGCAATATGAGTTCTGATGGATCATTACGTATTTCTGTATATTTATTTTCTCTAGCTTTCTCTAATTATCAAGAAGATATGCAATGCAAATTGGCACCAACTAGGGTTTTATCACCTGTTAATGACCACTTATTTAAGAATTTGTCAGCGTAAACCTATCCTAGTGCTAGATTTTTTTGTAAAATTAGAGCTCTTGGTTTCTATGTTTTGCTAGATATATCCTTCGCATGAACCCATTTTGTAGCACTCATAACTTAACCAGCTAGCCCTTGGGCTTTAAATTAGACTTTTAAATCAATGAAAAATTATAAAATGCAATTCAAAATTGTAGTGCAAATAAGGATGGGATCGGGAAAAGATGGAATGGTGGGGGTAAGAACACACAGTAAAGTAAAAGGCAAGAGTCGGCAGTGGGCCTTGTTGTTGATAAATTGCTTGCATTGCTAACGAAAGAAGTGAAACTATTGAAAGGCGTGAATGATGAATTGGTAGATGTAAAAGATGAATTGGAAGTCATCCGTGCTCTCCTGAAAGATGCAGATTCAAAATCTGAGAAGAAGGCGTCGGGGAGGGCGTGAAAGTTTATTGGTGAACCAAATAAGAAGCTCATCACATTGAAGATATTTCATCAATGATTACATGTTTCATGTGGCAAGACATCCTGATCATCGATGTCGATTCCTAACGTAGAATTTCTTCTTTTATTAAAACATTCAATTCGCGCCGTGATATAGCTTCAGAGATCAAAGATATCAAAACATCACTTTCTAGTCAAAGAGCATCGAGTAGGAGCAGCAACGCAAGAAGAGGATTAATGCATCAGCCTCGGCTGAGTTTTCTTTTCACTGAAGAAGCTGAGCTTGTTGGGATTGAGTCTCCTAGAGATGAATTGATAAGCTACTTAGTAAGTGGAGTTTATCAAAGGATAGTGATCGGAGTTGTTGGTGTGGGAAAAACCACACTGGCCAAGAAAGTACATGACAACCACCGGGTGAAAGAGAACTTCCGATACCATTCTTGGATCACCGTGTCTCAATCATATGATACGAGGGAGCTACTAAGGAATATCCTGAAGAGATTCGATGAAGCGAAGAATGAGCCTTTTCATGATAGAGTTGTTACAATGGACGAGGAGTTGTTGATCAAGGAGATTAGAGAATATTAACGACAAGAACCATTTTTGGTTGTATTTGACGATGCATGGGAAATTGGATTTTGGGGAACACGGAGCATGCGTTGTTAGATCATGATAATGGCAGTAGAATATTGGCTACAACAAGAAATGAGGATGTTGCTAATTTTAGTACAGGATCTTCATTGGTTCATGTCTATCGTATAGAACCTTCAACTCAGAAGGGGGCATGGGATCTCTTCTGCAACAAAGCATTCAGGTTTGAGTTTAAAGGGCAATGTCCAAAAGATCTGGAGGAATTGTCACGCGACATTGTTAGAAGATGTGGAGGATTACCGCCACGAGCAATTGTGACTGTTAGTGGACTTCTAGCTACCAAAGAAAAGACCATTCTTGAATGGAAAAAAGCTCTTAGAGGCCCGATCTGCAATGGTGAGTGACCCATATATTGATAATGTCACTAACATTCTATCTCTCACCTACGGTGATCTGCCTTACCACCCCCAATCTTGTTTCTTATATTTTGGCATGTGTCCTGAGGATTTTCCCATTAAACTTGGAAGAATAATTCAACTATGGGTAGCTGAGGGTTTTGTACAAGAAAAACCAGGAATGACACTAGAGGAGGTTGGAGAAGAATACTTCAATGAACTCATTCGTCGAAGTTTGGTTCAAGTGGATAAAGTTAGTTTGAAAGGAACTCCCAAAACATGTCTTGTTCATGATTTGGTACATGATGTCATTCTTTCCAAGTCAAAGGAGCCGAGTCTCCGCCATGTTTCCAGTAGTTTCTCAACCTTCGAAGGCATAGCGCGACATCTCTCCATAAGCAACAGAGGAAGCAACACTCAAAATATTATCACCAAGTCTCAAACTCGCACTGTTGTAGCTTTTAACGAAGTAAAGCTGCAAGAAGGCCACAATGTCAGTAATATTTACAAAATTTAAGCTTTTGACTACATTAGATTTTGGTAACTGTCCAATAGACCACCTTCCCAAAAAGGTGGGAAATTTGATACATCTAAGAAATTTAAACTTACCAGAGCAGCAAAACTTCCAACATCGATAAGAAAGCTTCATGACCTGGAGTCCTTGGATTTGAGAAATTCTTTCGTGGAGGAGTTGCCAGTTGAGATCAGTACGTTCCCTGAATTGCGACATCTTTTGGCTGATGATAGAAAGACTCGGGCATTGAAGATACATGGCAGCATTAAGCATTTGGAGTTCTTGCAAACGTTGTTTCTAATTAAAGTGGACCGTGATTTAAGCTTGAGCAATGATGGCCTACAAGTGTCGACGAAGATGAGGAAATTGGGGATCATCAATTTGAAAAGAGAACATGGAAGGTATCTATGCACTGCATTAGAGAAGATGACTTACCTGCGGTCGCTACTTGCTTTTTCAATCAATCCCAGGAGTGAGATTATTCAAGTCCAATCAATATCTTCTCCTCCTCTTCAGCTGCAAAGTCTCCTAGTTGGATTCCCAAACTAAACAATCTGGCTGAACTGAGTTTGAGTTTTACAAACTTGATGGATGATTCCATTAAAGTCCCTCAAGCTCTGCCCAATCTAAATTATCTTGCACTTGCACGGGCATACAACGGAGAGAAGATGCATTTTGAAGGAGGAGGGTTTCAGAAACTCAAGTTTCTCTCTCTTGCAGGCTTGAGCAATCTGAATGAAATGTTAATAAACGAAGGAGCATTGTCACTTCTTAAAAGGCTAGAAATGGGACCCTGCCCAAAACTAAATAAGGTGCCCTCTGCAAATCAAAACTTGAGGTATCTCAAAGATTTATCGTTCGCAGGGATGACAAATGAGTTCACTCATAGATTGTCACGGCAATAATCCGAGATAGTGAGGCACATACCGATTCTCCGATATGATGCTACTTATGATCCCAATGATGAAGGATCTTATGGAGCATTTGGATGAAGAATCAACATGAGCTAACATTTATGAGATTACAGGCATGCTGCATCCCTTTAGAATTTACTTCTTTAAAACGGTACCAAGTTAATTAATAATATTAGCATAACTTTTGATATTTCTACATGTATGTTGTTGCTTGGATATGTACATGTTGCACGGACTTCAGACTGTCAATCAACCTTAGAGTAATGCAAAGTCAGCCCTGCTAAAAACTTGGCGAGAAGGTATAGTCAGCATCAGCTGGATGGAACACGGCAGATGTGTCTTTTTAATGTTTCAGGGGAGACTAGTTCTTCTCTTCAGTAAAACCTTTTTCGAGTTTGTAATTTGGTTAATCTGTTTCAAGTGGTAAGAACACTGGCATGTAGAATTCATGAAATGTCTGTCCATGCATGTGTTGTTACCAACCATTGAATATGATAGGATCATCTAGTAATGTGCTCGGAAAAATATGTGAGCTCTTCATGAATCTAATACAATAGAACTTAAGAGAATTAATTAATGTCATTTCTTTTTTGTTAATCCAAGAATTTTATGGATGGTGTATGATGATCTATGCAAATCTTGGGCTGTCAAGCATTTGAAGCGAGATGATTTTATGATCCAATAAACTTTGAAACGACAACTTTTACGAAGAGCAACGATGTTAATGATAAATGTCTGGCCAAAATTCTGGCGCTGTGGTTGTACCTATTCAATCTGAATGGCTACCACAATCCATCCATACCATTCCAAATTTTCATTCTCTTCATGACTCCAATCCATTTGTTGACAAACTTTAATGCAAAACTGAATATAATTAATAAGAGAGTGAACGGTTTATAATGCTTTGCAATCTTAGTCAATGATTTCTCCTTCTTCAACCCTATAAACTTCGTCAACAAGATCACATTTTCCCATGACAAAACCATTCCCTGGCTCCACTTGAGCATCATGTTCGTCGCCATCATCTCTATCACCAAAATCCTCAGCTATTGTATTGTTCGGAACTTCGGAGTCTTCTTTGCCAACAAGTGAAGGTTTTTCTTCCAGTGGCTCATCCTTGCAACCATCTTCTTTAACCGCTACCAAAGGAAACTTCAAAGGCTTATCTGACCAATCCTTGAAGAAAGAGTTCACCACCATGAACCTAAAAACCTGCAACAACCGGTGCTTATCCCTCTTTATATCTGCACAAAGAAGCTTCTCCAACAGCGTTGGCTTCCTATCCTCGTTTTCTAATCCAAGCTGCATGTCGGACCGACCTTTTCTCTTGTATCTTCCTCTTCTATCATGCTTGTTCCAGAATCTCCCCTTCTTAGTCATGGACCTTCTGTTATCTTCCCTTCCATGCTCTTGTTTCTCTGAATCTAACAGATGGTGTGGTGGTATTTCTGCAGCTTCAACTCCTAGCTTCTCTGAATCTAACAGATAGCTTAGTGGTGTTTCTGCAACTTCAACTCCTAACTTCTCTGAATCTAACATGTATTCTGGTGGTATTTCAGCAACTTCAACTCCTAGCTCAGCCTGCTTTGCCAAAATCTCCTTGAGTTGCTGCATGAAACATTTCCAAGAAATTACCAAATGCTGAAGCATGTTGTAGTTCAAGAATTTTCAATAGTTCCTTGATATAGATTTGCATCACCTTATGAAAACCAACCAATCCTTTCATAATATAAATGAAATGCATACTTTTGATAAGCATATTGTGAAATTTTCCCAATTATTACTGGCATTAAGTAGATTTTTAATCCAAATAACTATAGAAAGGCCATTCTTCCTCTCTTTCACCCCTATTATAAAATGAGATTTCTTGTGATGAATGATATAATCATCCGTTTAAACACCAGTTTCTGTGCATTGCAAATATGGGCACCCCAGATGTTATGATCAACAGTATAACCAAGTGACAGCCTTAGTTTTCTCCTAACCACTCCAATCTAACTCTTCACACCAACTTATCATCAAATTTTCTTGGCAGAGCATTTAGCACCTACATGACAGTAAAAGATCACTTTCCATGAGAACGTAGGCTAGACTATAGACTTCATTTATTGTTCTACATGACAGATAGACATCCAAACATTTCAAAAATACTAATTACCAAAACCAATAGGTGAGAGAAAATTCTGTATAAGGCTATAATTTGGGACAGGATAGAAACCTATGCTGTGGAATAAAATGTAACATGGCAGAATGCCATTTTTCACTGACATATATGCTTAGCCAGAGAAACATGATCGTCCATTTAGAAGAACATATTAAACAAACAAGATCTTGTCAAGTGGCACTGGTGTTGAAAGCATGAGATAAAGGTCTTCTCTTCAAGGTTATGAGCCAAATATACAACACAATAGAAACAATGAAAAATAGAGTACCTTGCGACGAAAGTTGGCCTCTTTATCAATGACCCCAGAGTCTATTAGCTTTTCAGTCTGCTTCTGCAAGTGTCAAGTTCATGATCAACTCAATTATGTAAGATAATAATTAAATTAATGCAGCAGAATGATACAGAACATGATCGAACCTTCTCTATGTTGGTTTTTGTTGGGAAGTGCTTCCTACGTGATTCACGCCATTGTTTGATTTCTTGTTCCGTGTATATATGAGTTCTGCTAGGTTTACAAATGTACAGAGTTGAACGAACAAACAAAAAAATTCCGTGCAGAAATTGGTGTTGCAAAAGTGGATATTGAGCAAGCGAAAGAGGCATATAATACATCATAAGAATGATCTGCAGTACATAATCTTGGGGTGAACTAAGCGACTTCAGAGAAAAGGCATAAATGGAAAATGCAGTTTTTACTTTTTTATTTGACAGAATGCTGTAACTATTTATTACAATTGTCCAAACAAGCTAGAGCAAAGATAGTCCAATTTCATATTTCAAGTCACCCTGCAATCAATTTGAGTGTGACCTCTTGAACAGAGGAGGCCACACAAGCAGCCTACTCTAAATCAACACCCCACCCACCTGCTAGCTTGAATCACAATATGAGATCAGCCAAACATAACTCTTTCTCAAATTGATCAGTAATGTTTAAGGGATAGATCAGCAAAATTACCTTTTCTGTTCCGTAGCTTGGTTTGAAGGATCAGAGCGACCAAATTTAGCTGCCCTCTCATTGCCTTTCCCTATTACATTTTTAGAGCACAAAGGTTAAACCAACTATCTCCATCAAGACACACAAGGAAGAGGTAATCTTGTAGCAAGGTCTACGATCACAAACCTTTTCCACCATGTTTATTAGAAAACCCAAGCTTTCTCTTTCCATTATCCATGCGATGGAACTCGGATTTCTGATGCCTACAGAAAATGAATTTCAGATGGTTATGAGACACTGCATATAGTAGGAGAAGTACTTAGAACAAAATTTCCAACACACACCCTGATTGTGATTGCTCTCTTTGTGGATTATTTTTGAAGTTTTTGCCAGAAAAGATTCCTCGTTTGGGATATGGAGTACTACCCTGGCCATTTTTAGCAGGATTACCCTACATCAAGAACAGAACACTTAACTTCACCATCTTGGAAAGTAATTGTTTGGGAATGCACAATAAGGTAAAAAAAAAGAAGAAGAAGAAAAAGCATGGACAAAACCATAAAAAGATTTGGAAGAAGATGCCATATACAAGAAAAGCCAAACAATTAAATTGCAAGGCAGTTGACCTCAAATAATAAGGTAGTGAAGCAACTTAGAAAACATGCGGCTACATGAGTGATAGTATACTAAAGCATGGAAAACGTATAAAAAAAACTATGACTATTGGATTGCATAAATCACATGAGCTCAGAAAGAAATCATCCAAGTTAAAAACAACAAGTACACAACAATGGCGGCTTTTAATCACAGCTGAAATGTAGTTACCTGCCACCTATTGTAAGCAGAGGGTTGCAAGTTCTGACTTTGCTGAGATGTAAATGGGTTCCCTTGCACTTGCTGAGTTGCAGCTGGCAAAGGCTTTGGTCCATTTGCAGCCATTGGAGGCATTGCAAATTTCTCACTTTGTTGTGATGCTGGCGAGATCCCTTCCACTTGCTGAGTTGCAACATGCAATGGATTTGACCCATTTGTACCCACCGCAGGCATTACGAAGTTCTGATTTTTCTGTGTTGCAGACAAGTTCCCTTGCATTTGCTGATTTTCAAAAGAGAATTGTTTCGATCCATTTGCACCGGTTGTCGGCATTACAAAATTTGGCTGGTTTGGCTTAACTTGTTGATTTACGAAAAAGTTTGGACTTTGAGCACCTACCACTTGGTGACTACTTGAAGGGACATTAAAGGAACCAACTTGAGAAGTCATTGGCATTTGCATAGGCATAACAGGGTTCATCATATTCTGCATTGGATTTTGCAACAAACCCATATTTTGATTGATTTGTTGAGGCAAATTGGAGAAACCAGGACCAAACAGCTCTCCTTGCAATTGATTTACTTGATTCATCAACATCTTTAAAGCATTCAACTTGTTGACCTGATTTTGTAACTGAAGGATAGCCAGATCATTAGGTCCACTCACTAAACCATGTTGTTGATTGATTAAAGGTGGCATATTAGGCATGGCTTGTCCATTTCTTAAAGGGGTATTTGAATGATTAAAAGGAGTTGGGATTTGAGGATTGACTAAACCCAGCTGAGGTTGCATTGAATTTGTTAAAGAAGGATTTGCTGAAAATCCCTGATAAATCCAACAAACAAGAAAGAAAAAACCAAAAACAGTTCAAAATTAGAACAAAGAAAAACCCTTTAACATACAAAATTATCAGAGACAGTGAGTGCGATAGAGGAAGGGTGGAGTACCTGTTGATTATAAGGAGTAGTGTTGCCCTTTTGTTTGTGGTGTCTAGGACGACGGGAATTGAAGAAAGGTTCCATCTTTAAGCATCAAGACTGCTACTTTACACAATGCGGTAAGCAAGAAGACAGGGTATTAGGGTTTAGGCTTTAACAGAAGGATGGTGGGCTTATGTTTCCAGGGTACCACCTATTTTTTGTCTTATAGACAAAAGGCATAACTACAAATTAGTCCTAAATTCAGTATTGTTTTTATCACGGACCAGTCCCCAATCTTTAAAGGTTATTAATGTTTCCCACATCTTCATAAATCATGAAACATTTATAATGATGACCCTTGTGGGCCTCATTTTGAGCTATCTTTCATACTATAGGGACTAGATAAATTCATGTCAATAAATTAATTAACTCTTAAAATTACCTTGTACTCAATCTTAACGAACTAGACTTAACAAACAGACACAACTTGTCAAACGACACAACATCCACAAGAATGTCCACCGCGACCACCAGTTTTTTCGAACCAGCCTCCGTGACCAGCAGTGGCCGTCCAGTCCTCCACCAAGCCGAAGTAGAATGCCACCTCCTCTCATCTGTAGACCTTGAAACCGAACCCACCACCACCGCGACAACCACCATCAATTCTCTTGACTTCCCTGCATTTAAATCAGGCCTTGGAATCCTCACCACACACCGCCTCCTTTGGCTTCCTTCTAATGCCACGACAGACAGTTCAAGTCCAATATCAATCCCTTTGAGTTCTGTAACTCATATATTTTCACCAAAAAAGTCGATCAAGTCAATGTTTCACTCACCCCGGATCCGGTTTCAAGTTTCTATGCATTCAAGGAGTGTTGTGGTGACTTTAGTGATTAGAGGGAAGGGAGATATTGATGGGTTTTTGACAAAGTTTTGGGATTGTTGGAGAGGAAGGGCTTGGGAGATTGGTAATGATAGTGGCGGTGGGTCAATTTCGGGGTCTGTTCCGGCTTCTGGGTCGGTTTCGGGTGGTGGGTTATACTCGAGTGATGGGTCAGTGAGGCTGGTGGGTGTGTCTGGGATATTGAGGAAAGAGCAGGAGATGTGGGAAAGTACTGATAAGAGCTTGCAAGAGGCTTTTCATGACTTGAATGCTCTTATGGTAATAGTTGTTTTCGAAAGTTTATTGCTTATGAAAGATGCTTACTTTTAATTGTAGTTATTAAGTTGTCTGATTATAGATTAATGGATTAGTATTTTATAATTGCTTGATATAAACAATGTGTACATGGGGCTTTTGTATGCTGAGGATGAACTTGAATTCTTTCATAGTTGTTTCATGTTTGTCTTCTGTTGTTTCCAAGAATAGCTTGTAGGAAATGTTTTGTTGTAATTATTAGGTTATCTAGGAATAGATTAATGGAAAATAACTCTACTATAAGGATATGCTCTTGCATCTGTTAGATTATGTAAGAAATGAAAGTGATACTTTTGGTTTTGACTGGTGTCTATTTTGTTAAGCCAAATTGATATTGCTTCATCACTCTTTTTTATTTTTATTTTTTCCTTATTCATAAGGTTAATAGCTTGTGGGAGATGTGTAGTGTTTTTTAATCTGGCTATTTAGCAATAACGTAACGAATTAGCTGAAGTACCTTGACTTGAGCTATTATGCACATGGGTTGTTGCATTGCCTATATTATGTGAGAAGTGAATTAACTGAATGTTTGGCTTTGTAACAGGATTGCAATGGTTAGGTTTTGCCTTGTGTATAATGTGTTGAGTTAAATTGTTATTGTTTTGTCACTCTGGTTTTGGCTGCTGCTTAATGATCAGTGGTGTTTAAAATCTACAGAGAAAGGCCAAAGAAATGGTCATCCTAGCAGAGAAGATGAGGCAGAAGCTTTTGTCTGGATCGAGCTCTCAAAGTAGTTCTGGGAATGATGAGGAAATGGGTTCCAAAGAAGAGATGCAAGATTGGCTGTTGAGTGTTGGTATCGTATCCCCAGTAACAAAAGAATCTGCAGGTGCCATGTATCATCAACAACTGTCCCGTCAGGTCTGTTTCATTTGCCACCGGTTTCGTTGACTCTGTATGTGTTTCTCTTGGCTTGTGGCTTAATCCATTGATAAGAGAAATTTAGATGGATCTTATATTTCTCATGTTAAATATATCCTGTTTTACTCAATTTTCTTCCCTTAAAGAAGAAATCTCAATTTTTCTTTGTTGTTAATTAGTTGGCAGATTTTGTCAGAATTCCCCTAGAGAAAGCTGGAGGAATGATCAATCTTATAGATATCTATTGCCTCTTCAATCGTGCTCGGGGCACAGGTTTGTTTGTTGTTACTTCAGTCAATAACTTTTAGCAGCTCTCACTGATGCTAATAGACCCCTTACTTTATTTATTTATTTTTGTAAATGTTCTATGTAGAATTGATCTCACCTGAGGATTTGTTGCAAGCATGTTCTCTTTGGGAGAAGTTTGATGTGTATGTATGATACTATCTTCAACTAATATGACACTATGGTTGTTTGTTTTGAGATCAAAAGGATGGAGACTAATTAATTTCTATGCTCATGTATCATTAGATAATCTTTGTGACTTTCAAGTCATTTATAAGATTGTACTTTGTTTCACAGTCCGGTAATGCTTCGGAAATTTGATAGTGGAGTGAAGGTCATCCAGAATAAGTCCCATAGTGATGAAGAGGTGATCTCTTTTACGTTCATATTAAATAATCATATAGCAATTATGCTTTAATGTAATATATGTATTTGGAGTGGAATTAACAGGATGAACTTGAGGCTCATTTTGCAGTTGCATTTGTTACTTTTTTAGTCACTTGTCCTGTATATTGTTTGGAAATGTATGGAATTTGCAAAAGTTGTGTAAACTGAATATGATTGTTAGCTAATTCATATCATAAGACTTGCTAACAAAGAGGTGCTGAGAGCCAAAAGTGTTTGTAAGGGGGATATCTAAAGGGAATATAAATTGGAATGAACAAAATTATGTCCAGATTGGTTTAATGATTTCTAGACTGTCATAGCAGTCCTTTATTAGAATGTGCTGAAATTTCTAAATAAGAAGTACTTCATAGTCCATCACCATGTGTAACTATTCTGGTCAATTTTAGGTTTTTGCAAGAATCAAAAACCTTGTATCAAAGCCTGAAGCCCTGCAGTCTGGAATAACTGCTAGTGATGCTGCCATGACATTGGGTATTGCTCCAGCTATGGCCAAGGAGCATCTTCTAACTGCTGAGAGCAAAGGTGCATTTCTTTGTAATTTTCTTCCAAAGAATTTGGTAATAGAGTTGAGTTTAAGATAATATGGTTGATTTTTAACTTCATCATTGAAAATTATTGGCAGGATTGCTATGCAGGGATATAAGCCCTGATGGATTTCGCTTTTTCATTAACCTCTTTCCTGAAATCAATTCTGATGATATTCACATGTAAGCTGACAATTCAGAACAAATTTGGTTGTATTTTATATATATTATTTATGGCTAATGATTGGGCACACGAGGAGAATCTCTCAAAACCCATGCCCTCCCCCTTGCCCTTCTCCTGAATCCTTTCTACAAAGTCAAAAGCAACAAAACATCCTCCTATCTAACTAGGTCATTAACTCTAGCCTTTCCTTTTGGACCCTGGATGCTTTTACCTCTCCATTTCTTAGATATATGGACCTTTGATGGCTACAGCTGCTGTTTTGAATTCCTTCAAGGATGAATAGTGGAGGTCCATACCTTGTGTTTTCCTCTATGAGTTTTTTATGGAAACCTGTACAAACAAAACCTTCTTGTCCTCATGTATCATTCGATTTAGTTGAAATCACTCATTTAATACTGTATCACCTCGTGTGCTTTACAGGGTGAAGGATCATGGGATTTATTCTCTGTGGATAAAAAGTTGTTAGCTGTTTCTGCTCAGAAATTTGAAACCAGTACACAGCATGACAATGTAAGATTGGGTTTTCAAAACTCATCATGTACTTGATTTTTAGTTTGTATTCTCGTATTCTAAGCCATTCATCCTCATGTTTCTTCTGTTGGTTCTAACATGGCAGTTTCTATTAATGCAGAGAATATTTTTTTTTTCCATTTCACTCAATCAGCCATCAAATGCCAATCAAACCTTGATAGGCCAGGATTTAAGGTGGCATCGCAAGGTACCTGCTGCAGCACCGAGACATGGTTTCTAACACACGATCAGGTCAACCTAAATCAAACAAATGAATGACAACTTTGTTGGTTTTACTTTTGGAGATGATACTCTTAATTTCTGGGACAGTAAATACAAGGAAATACAATATTTTGTAATTCAATATCTTGTGTAAGAGTGGTCTTTGTAATTTATGGATCAAGTAAATACATAACTGCAAGGAGCATCATGCTTTATTCATCTATCCAATTTAGGACTGTCCTGAGAGAAATTAGGATTTGGTGTTTTTGCGAGTAATGACTCCAAGAAACTATTTTTTTCTTTAATTCCTAAGATTTGATTTCAATTGTAAAAATCAACTTGATTTTAAAAAAGCCCTCATGATTTTTTCATTCGAGCATGTATATTTATTATTTGCCTCATGCTTAAATTGAGGTTTTAAAAATAAAATCATGTGCTTGTGTAATGAAATTTTATATGTGTCTATATCTTTAATAAACTCTACATTAATTTCTAAAATATTTGTAGGGTCTCTCATTGGATCTTACTCATGATCATCTTGCTTTCTCTTTTTTGCATTGATGATATGCATTTTTCAAAATAAAAATTATAGAAATTAGCTTCTCACAATATTTTATCCTAGTTACATTATAGGTTAGAGGGTAGTGAAGTTGAGGCGGTATCCTAATTTTATTTTTTATTCTTAATTAAACAAGGATGAAGCTGGATATTGCTTTGAGAAGGACATGGATGCAATCTTCTTTTGACCAACCAGCATCTCAAAATATTTTCCCTCCACGGCTTGAGTGTAGATTTCATCCTCGACTTTCTCTGTGCTCAAAGAGAGCAATCTAAAAATCTTCGTTGGGCCTATTCTGCAATGGCTGGAACTTTCAGCCTGATAGCGATACCGACCCCGACCCAGGTTTGTCCGATCTTGTCCCGTCACTCTCTTCTGTGTGATAGATGGAATGATACTGACAAAGCCAGCTCTTGCTCAGCCATCCACTACCCTTCTATCGTTATAACTCTAATTCTTCACTAGCCGA